ACCTTTTCATAAGGAGCAAGGCTCTTGGGAATGAGCAATGCCGTTTTGCACCAATCTTAGCACTTGGGTCCGCTCACAGGCTTCCCGAGCTGTCACTCAAAACTAGGATTTTCTCGACTAAAGGAATGCAGTTTATTTTCAGTATAACAGAGGTCTCAACCATTCATACTTAAACACTATGGGTCTCCTGATTGGTTGATTTATTACGCTACCACATAGGTGTAGGCCCCTTTGAATGACATCCAGTGTCTCCTGATAATGGATCGCTGGTCCAACTTAGAGACTTTGCACACCTACTGGAACAAATTGCAATACGGTGTTGTTGGAACTGACCGAGTTGAATAAAGTGATTCACAAAAGTGAGTCCCTATTTAATGTCCCTTTACAAATATTCGTCTGCCGCGTCATCGATACCCACAAGACTACTCTCCCGTAGTTAGCTGTAAGTGTGGCAAATGACGTGCTGTTGGAGAAACCGTGTCAAAGGAGTGCGAACCGCTCCGACCCAAATCCACTTTTCACGGTTGGACTCGAAGTCCAGCGTTTGTCGGAGGTGCGCTAGGCTGTTTGGCGATAAAAATATTTTACCTTTGCTTCACTCCTTTTTAAAAGTATTCAGCATGAATTACCGACAGGCAACTATTTATGAAATCATCACCACCATCACTTAAGCTAAATGACAGTAGGCGGAATGATGCATACGGTTAGACATTATCTGACTGAGCGATCCCTTTATCCAAACATCGAGACGGCAAGAGGTACACTTGTGTATGAATGGTGGTTTAAAATCCTCCAACTATATCAGGAAGGCTAGATTGCTGAAAGCAACCACAGAATACCCGAAGACTACTGAGACTCTCAGCTCCGCCAGGTGCTGACCAGACGGACAACGCCCCCTCAGTATGCAGCGCTTCACAGCCGTGTATCAAACCCAGGCAGCGTGAGTCACCGCTGATCAAGGTCAAACATCGCCCACGCAATACGCAGCGCGTCGTAGCCTCGTACCAAAGCCAGACCGTGTGCGTCAGCATTGGACCAAGTTAGACAGTGTCTCTCCAATAACTAGCTTGGGATCGTTGTATTCTCGCACTCGCACGCACTCACGCTCTCACACTCGCTTGTTCGGAATATAGCTGTTGGACTGATGAAGTCATCCTTAAAAGAATCGGTCGGTTGATCGCCAGCGTCCAGCTAAAACGATTGACATGGAAACGAGATGTCAATCTATTACGGCCGACTGAGTGCTCCACCTCAAAGGTAGAAGAACATTTACTAGATCCTTTGTTGCTGCTTGAAACTTTTGATCTACCAGGATCAGAACCTATAGCCACTGCCTCGCATGTACCACCCAAGACAGATCCATCGCTGCAACCAAGACGCCGCATCTGTCGCAATAGAAAAAGGGTGGAACCTTTACAACTTGATCAGCGTCGACAATCTTACGTTCAACGGCCAAAAGGGGGAGGTATCAGGAAGGTCAGCTTTCTGAAAGCAACCGCTGAGTGCCCGGAATCTACCGAGCCTCGCAGCTCCGCTAGATGTTGACCAGACAGGCAACGCTTCCTCATTATGTAGCGCTTCACAGCCTTTTATCAAACTCAGACAGCGAGTCACCGCTGATCAACGTCAGACAACATCATCGCAATATGCAGCACGCGTACCAAAGCCATTCTGCGTGCGTCAGCATTGACCCAAGCAGTATCCCTCCCATAACTAGCTTGAGACCGTTCCTTCTAGAACCCAATTTAAAGCACTGTTAGACATTTATTTATGCGACTCCTCGCGCTGGCAAGCATACTGCCCCGCGCTGAGAACATAAAGAGCAGTGCTACACCCTTTTTTCACTTGTGCCTTTCAGGTGAACGACAGCCACTGACCGACAAGAACAAAACCGACCCGGGAAACTTGGGCAAAAGCCTCGATCCTGTGTATCAATCCGTGAATCCGTGAATCTCAGCCTGCTGCTTGAAACCTTTGATCTACCAAGACCAGCACCTATAGCCACTGCCTCGCATGTACCACCCAAGACAGATCCATCGCTGCAACCAAGACGCCGCATCTGTCGCAATAGAAAAAGGGTGGAACCTTTACAACTTGATCAGCGTCGACAATCTTACGTTCAACGGCCAAAAGGGGGAGGTATCAGGAAGGTCAGCTTTCTGAAAGCAACCGCTGAGTGCCCGGAATCTACCGAGCCTCGCAGCTCCGCTAGATGTTGACCAGACAGGCAACGCTTCCTCATTATGTAGCGCTTCACAGTCTTTTATCAAACTCAGACAGCGAGTCACCGCTGATCAACGTCAGACAACATCATCGCAATATGCAGCACGCGTACCAAAGCCAGTCTGCGTGCGTCAGCATTGGACCAAGCAGTATCCCTCCCATAACTAGCTTGAGACCGTTGTATTTTTGCGCTCGTTTGTTCGAAATATAGCTGTTGTGTTCCCAGCTGTGTGCCTTTTTCATCGGCATTGGTCACTGAAGCGGGTAAGCAGCCAAATACACTCTCCGGTTGTTTTGTGATTCAACTTATCACTTTGACCTGCAGCGAGCCTGTTACACTGGATCTTGTCAAGACGTAACTATAAAGGACTGCTCACGGAGGAGTATGTCCGTCAACTCTTCCACAAGATGAACCTGTTCAGGCTGTTTGGGCCAGACGGGGTCCACTCTAAGATCTCACACTAGCGAAGCATTTTCACCAGGTATTTTGTAAGCCGCTCGACAAAAGTAACCTTCCTTGTGATTGAGAGGGAGCGATGATCACGCCAACCTACAAAACCGGTGATCGATTATCGCCCGCCAGCAACTAGCCGGGCAAGCAAGCCATCCAGACTCGTCACGCTAGCAACATCTTGAGATCCACAGTACAATAGGGATTCCTCCCGAACCGTTTTTGCCATAAGAAAATTCTCGCATTTATGGGCAGGTTAACTAGAGCTAAGGAGGAAAGACTCATATCAGATGTAATCATTTTTGAGTTACTAAAGGCATCCGACCGAATCACATACGTTAAATTGTTATACGACATCGAGTCTGATGGAATTCAAGGGGAAATTTTGCCTTGGATTCAGGCTTTCCTATCATACAGAACATTCTAATCGAAAGTAGGTCAGACTTACTTTCCTTTGGCACAGTTCCCCATTGGAGTTCCCCAAGGTTCCGTATTGGGGCGAGTTTGTCTCTGGTCTACGTCAAAGACCTCTCAGTTTCTTTCGGGTTCACGCATATCTTATGAGGAGGGCCTGAAATACTGGAGTGTAAACGCCAGCGCCCTCCAAATGGACGCTGCAGAGCAGTGGTCCATGGACTGGCACCTTCTGAATGGCAAAAAGTACGCATATATGTCATTCGGAGAATACAGCGAATGCTTGTGCATGGTGGGAATGATTCGGAAGCCATCAGGAGGACAGATACAGAAGAGGATTTGGGTATGTGGCTGTTTTCAAACAAGTCCTTCTCAATGCACCATGACATTCGCGGTTGTACGGATAGGTGCACCTTGGAGGACAGATACAGAAGAGGATTTGGGTATGTGGCTGTTTTCAAACAAGTCCTTCTCAATGCACCATGACATTCGCGGTTGTACGGATAATTCGGTGCACCTTCCCCTGTATTACTCTCAACAACATCCAAAACCTCTGTGGGGATTACGGCTTCTTGAATATGCCAACCAAGTGATCTACTCAGGGCGAAAGGAGGACGAACACATCTTTGGGCGTGTCCTCCCCTGTCGGGACGCGTCCAGAAATGAAAAAAGTAAATGTGCAGAGAACAACGCCTCCCCATGGTCAACATCGGTCCCACATGCGGTTGTACGGATAATTCGGTGCACCTTCCCCTGTATTACTCTCAACAACATCCAAAACCTCTGTGGGGATTACGGCTTCTTGAATATGCCAACCAAGTGATCTACTCAGGGCGAAAGGAGGACGAACACATCTTTGGGCGTGTCCTCCCCTGTCGGGACGCGTCCAGAAATGAAAAAAGTAAATGTGCAGAGAACAACGCCTCCCCGTGGTCAACATCGGTCCCACATGTTCTGGATAGCAGGTGCGTTGGCGGAACTTATTAACCATGGCCAAGCGCCATGGAATCAGCGGAGTGGGTGTGGATTTGTTCATGACAGGAACATCGCCATTGGCTGTACAAAACGAACAAGTGATCGTCCATATTTGGCCCTTTAGTTACCCCATATATATTAACGCACCGGGCCTGTATGTTTGTCCTAACAATACAGCCATGTCCCGGGTTCGCTATCTTCTCCTTATCGCTTAGTCTAGCAGGCTCAGTGAAGACGTAGCTAACATGGAATCAGCGGAGTGAGTGTGGATTTGTTCATGACAGGAACATCGCCATTGGCTGTACAAAACGAACAAGTGATCGTCCATATTTGGCCCTTTAGTTACCCCATATATATTAACGCACCGGGCCTGTATGTTTGTCCTAACAATACAGCCATGTCCCGGGTTCGCTATCTTCTCCTTATCGCTTAGTCCAGCGGGCTCAGTGAAGACGTAGCTAATAGACGGTCACTCATGATACACCGTTTGCATTAAGTCCCGTCACCTCCGAGGAGACCTAGTACTTAATTACGCCCTATTTGAACAAGGTTTGGCCGTCGACCCAGCCAACACACGGTGGCGACATGATAAGGTCTTCAAGCTCAGACAGCACATATTTGTCGGGCTTTGTATTATAAGCCCCCGCTCTGGCAAGGTCTTTGCCCCACGCTGGTAAATTAAAGAGCGGTGCTACACCTTAAATCGTTTGTGCCATTCAGGTTGAACGATATGATCAAAGCCGATCAGGAAATTTCGGGCAAAAGCCTCGATCCGTGATCCATATATTTGATGTTTCATTCGCCAACTTGCCCGTTTGTCTGGCAGCCATTTTCCGACGGGGTTTCTGGACGAATTAGCACAATTTTGCAAGTAACTGTAACCCGGGTGTGTTGAATTCCCCCTTTCTCACTCTCCCTCCACTAGACGCATCGTGGATCCTTATATGAAGGCGCCGGATTTTACCCGATACCAACGATACAATCCAATAATGGGATGCAGTTTGTAAACAGTCGTCTCATGAAATTACGCAGCCACTGAGCAAACCGACGTGCACTATCCTCACCGCCTTCCCCAAACCCTCGGATGTTTGTATAATCCATAAGCCCAGGAAGCTGGAAAACACCTCATGTGTTCAGTAGATTCATGCCCAATAACTGTTTTCTTTTGAATGACACAACAACCTTGAATGGTGCAGCCTGTGTTGCCTCCAGCTCAGCTTTTAAGCCGGTGCCTGAATATTTCGCCACCTATTTATTCATATGTTGGGCCAGTAGCTGAAGGATCTGGCCGGTAGATTGAATTAAGACGGCGTTGCAGCAAAATGAAGCAGACCTATGCGCACGCTCAAGCACGATGTTCATGACGAATGGGCCTGATACGCCATCTATAAACCATTTACCAGGTCCATTGTGACCAACTGGAATATGGAAACGTCAGTCTCATGCGCAGCCGATGCACTGCGGTGGAATCGCAGCGTCATACGGGGCGGAACGCGCGGTGAGACTCTGAGAATATCCGTTTTGCATCCAACCGTGCCTAGAAGTCTCCCTTAAAGAGGCCTCTAAGCGGAAGCGACCCGCTCAAACATGAAAACATATTATTGTGGAGATTTCGTCCTATACGTGGAGTTAATCTATCTGAAATGCCTGCCGAGAAGCACTGTACAGCTGTTTCACCGTCGGCCACGAGTGGCCGAACGGTCAAGTGTTCAAACTACTAGCCAGGAGGTCGCGGGTTCGAGACTCTCCGGAGTTTCGTGAGATGCGCACCGCTGATGATTCCCAATGAGGCTGAAACAGCTGTACAGTGCTTCTCGGCTTTTCAGCATTGATTTACTCCACTTAGAGGACGAAATCTCCAAATATCCCCACACTACCAACAATGAGAACAGATTACAGTGATAATGTTCCCACTCCATAAACCCATTCTTAGACTCCCATATGCTTTAGATACCTTGAAAGCTATGAATACCGCCAGCCACCCAAGATTAAAAACCAATTGTCCTGATTTGAAGATTCCACCTTCCTAATTACACGAACGTTCACAATGTTTGTGGTTGGCTGCGTCTGAGGTAAGTAGCTGGTGAGTAGTTTACCTCGATAACTCAACTTCGGACTTCTGCACTATATATGAAAAATTAAGGGTCTGTCCAGTATCTCGATCACGGATGACCCAAACCGACGTCAGTTACCAATATTGCATAAAACCTATCGTCAAGATGCTGATTTCCATGTCACTTATGATTCTCACCCCACATGAAGGGCTATTCTTTAAACTGGACCTGGACACTTGTGTGTGAGATGGGCATCCTCATCCAAAATTTACTTCGGTTCGTTGAGCCACCGAGGCATCGTACACAACGAAAGTGAATCGCACAGTCACTTAAACGGAGAAGCAGCATGGAAGTCACAAATGCACCCCACAAAGATGGAGTAGTTTCCATCCACTCAAACTCATTTTAAGAGGACGCAAATTAATCGCTCCAACTCCAAACCATATGTCTCAATCGACGATAGGTGACTACCGGTTTCGTCCATACCATCCAGGTGTTTTGAGGAGTTATTCATAGCAAATCGAATTTTTCCTCCACGAAGGTGCCAACTATTTATTTATGCCTTGGTGGTTGTTGGGTAGAACCTATAGAATACGCCAGAGTTGTCCTTTAGTGTGAAAAAACAAACAAGTTGCTTGGCCATCATTGTATAGATGCTGCGGATGCCGTGTATCACAATATACGTTATGGTAACTAAACAGCTAGGTCAAATTCATTCCGAAAGCTTATCCGATACTAAAACTAGCCTGCGGCTAACCATACCACGTCAAATTTTTCAAAATTCTGTTCACTGAATCGTTAGTCCTTCCCGAGCAATAGTAAGTTGAACAGTCAAAAAGGTTATTATACCACTGTAGCCCAGAGAAAATTTTGAAAGTGTCAACCTGCTTATAAAATGACACCACTATAGAGTGAAACAACGTCGTATTAGGAAACTACTCACAAGGTTGCTGAAAACTCCTCAGCAACCTTGTGAGTAGTTTCCTTTATGAAAATATACTGCGATATCTCGAATATCGTGCCAACTGAATCATGAGGCGGCCTGTGTGCAGCACATTCAGCTGGAGAACAACATAAACGAGAGATTCAGTTGGGTCTCCCATGAAAACCAAATTGATTTGCAGATCAGTGTATTTCTCGAAAATGTCGTATTAGTTTATAAGTAGCAAATAAACTTGGTTCCTCAAACCAAGTCGCCCCAGGAGCAAATGGTCCGACGATTCTTGAAGGATCGTTAAATTGAAGTTTACCGGCTTAACTGCAATTCCCAACTATTACAAACTCTTTCCTTCCAGTATTGGATATGCATTGTAGATCCACTTCCAGGCATTCTACACTTCATTCAGCTCACTTATTTTGACAGAATTTGTCAGCCTGTTCCGAACTGAACATTACAGAATCGATTATTGGTTTACTCAAGTTCCACCGTTAAACACGAGGTTCCGTGTTTTAGCAAACCTCACACTGACTAAGAAAACTTGGTGACATGATATAGCTTGGGACTTTGGGTGAATAGCGCACTACTTTAATCCACAGAAAGGAATTTTCGGGTCATATTTCTGTCCCTGAAAACACGACACTGACGTTGGGGCCCCCAATGAAGCTCCCTATTGCCCACAGTGAAGCATGAACCAGAAATTTCCCTCACTCACGGTAGGGAAGCTCAGGGGTATTCTTTTCTTCAATTTTGCTGTCAACAATCTCTTTTTTGTCTGTAATTCCGTTGCTTCGAAGCGGTTCGCCATGCTGTCGGTAAACAGCATGGTACAGAGTGTAGTTAGATTGTTCAGATAGCCTAACAACATCCGAAGGCACGATGGCAATCCGATATTGTGTAAAAATCTAAGTGACATCAGAGTTGTTTGCTCAAACCTAGAGCGCATCGTTCATGAAGTTTAACGTTGACGCAAAAACCTTGGAATGGAGGGGTCCAAAAGCAACAAAAAGAGAGAGAAGTGGTACATATTTGTCAGCCGAAACAAGTATTTCAAGAAGTGTCTCAAATTTACGCATAACCTTTTGTAGTGAGCTCTGTAGCGCCAAAATTTGCGAAAAAGAAACGACTAAATTGTGCTAAGGATTAATCCATCTTCAACACATCCATTATCCTTTCTGATCTTGTTTATTCAAACGTACTTGTGTGTCTGAGGGTGTCGTGGAACTCTCAACGCATCCACCCTAGGTGTTCAATCCGGGCAGATTAATTAGCGTTATAATATTAGGCAGATAGTATATATCTAAAAACTCTGATTTCGGCTTTAGCCACCGTTGTGAACCCACTTTTGAAACCTTCGGGTGAGCCTCTGACGGCGAACTCCTTCTGCTGGAAGAACGGTACCCAGTTGTCAGTTTCTATGATTTTCTTCGAATTTACGTCCGGATAATCAGAGGACTGTTTTTTTAGCTGGTATGCATGGGAGTGCGAAATTTCTAGGAACACAAATATTTCCTTCATATTTTCATTATTTTCTGTCAAGTGGGTGGGAGACCACTGCTCAGGTCTTTCATGATCCTTTTCCCAGATTATATCCACAGGATTAATCTGCCACGAGCACTCGTACGAACAATTTTCCCTCAGTAGAACTCCCTCCTCTAGGCTGGTAAAAAATTTGTGGCCACCAATCAACTTTACAAGTACTCCCTCCTCTAGGCTGGTAAAAAATTTGCGGCCACCAATCAACTTCAACGCACTAATGTGAAATTGTTCCACAGGAACGTAATTTACCAGCACGAATGTAGTTGAGGACTCGTGTGTAGTGCATGGCGCTGATTACTGCTGCAAAGGAGGACGGTGTGTTTGAATCATAAGGTTGAGTCGTAAACGTCACCCACAGATTTAAATGGTGGATTTTCAGAAGAGCAAAACGTTTTAGAAATTTCCATGCCGCTTTTCACCTTTTACCAAGCAGAACAGTAAAAAAAGTGGCGTTTATTTT